GGGGGCGTTCACTCTCCCGCTGTCACTCCCCTCGTGTAGACTGAGGAGAAGGGGAGGTCGCTAGCGCCCACTTGTGCGGCAAGAGTTGCCTCTCAAGTGGGTCTGTGCGAAGGAGCCTCTTCGGGCACGGGAGGGTGCCCGCAGCCACCTGTGCGCCGGGATCCCTCGGTATCTCTGGGTGCTTTCTGCCTCGGGGCTGTGGGTGCAGTGCTGGTCCCTGCAGCTGCAGGAGCAGGTGTCAGTCCTGGTGGCGCTGGTCCCGTATCCCCTTCGGCAGAGCTGGGTGGGAGTGTCGGCGCGGCCGCCTCCCCCTATTGGCCCACCTCCGCGGGTGGCTCCGGGGCCGGCTCACTCTCTCGGCGCCTCTGGTTGCGAGAAGTTTATAGCTTCGGGCCCTTCTGCCTCAGAAGTCGGGAGTGGGAGCAAGTTTGTGGAAGAAAAGTGCCCTTAATATTATTATAAATAGGCACTTGGGGCTCTGCATGCCTGGCTGTTGTTCCTGTGTGTAATTTGTCCATGTATGTGTCTGAATCCCAGGAAAGAAAGGGAAGCGTTAAATAATTTGAATTTGTTTTGTTTGAGGGTGTGTGGCTTTCTTGAGGGAAGCTCTTGCAAAAGAATTATTTTCTTTCCACACTGCACTCTGCTCTCAGGCTGAAAATATAATCATAGTCTCTTCAAAAATATCATTATTAGCCTGGAGATTTAAAGGTTTAGTGTGACTGAAGATGAGGCATGAGTTAAAACTAACACTTGAGTGGACAGAACAAGAATTTGAATGGTTTTGTGAAGCTAAAATAGTAGTTTGTAATCTTTTTGTAGTTTTCCTAGAGATTCCATATCATCTAAAGACCAAATATGGATCCTGAAACTGAGATAAAGAAGCAATTAAATCATTTCTACTGCAATGTAAGTATTCTTTACTGAAAATCTTAACTAATACAAAGTAGTTTTTCTAGCAAAGATTGGACTGAACCAAGTCTGAACTGTTACTATTTTTTCTGTTGAGCAAGATGAACACTGAAGCAGTATTCTTTTTCTTCTTGGCAGTCTTTGAACCTGTTTGGGGACTGATATTTCCTTCCCTACCTCCTTCACCTTCTGAAAGGAGGAAAATTTCTGGTTACCGGTACAGAATAACTGGATAGCTGAAATCTGACATCCCTTACTTAGTGGGAACCTGTTTAGAACAGCAATTGGTTACAACTGATAGGGTCTTACAGAGCAGCTTTGCATTGCCACTTCCTTCTTATCTGCCCCTAACTTGCTGCCAGCAGCGGGCTTTCCCAAACTAATCCCTACTTGTGTCTTCCTTGTATATGGAGAATTTCTTTTGAGGAGGAGGTGTTTTACAGTAGTTCCTCCACTTTTAGCCTTTGTCTCTTAATTCTGCTACCACAGCACTTGAGGCAAGTGCTTCCCAGATATCTTGGCTTCTTTCGGTTTCTTGATCCAATGCATCATATTTCAGAAGCTGAAGTGAAGCAATGGCACTGTGCTGGGTCTGCCTGGAGTACATTGGCTCTAAGAGGTAAAGAAGATCTTGAAGAGGCTTTAGCTTTTAGCTAGATCCCAGTGATGCAGGCTTCTTACTGTTTTCTTTGTTTAAAATGTTACATTTTTTCAACTATAACTGACTTTAAAAAGCTTGATAAGCATTACTGGTTTGAATTTGAATGAAGCAAGGACAGCTTCAGTTATTGTAACTGGGTCTGCTCCTTGCTAAATACCAGTGAAAATTATAGCTATGTTTAAATTGACTTGTGACTGTTGGTGTGATGGCTTGCCTATCTTTTCTGTTTTAGAATATCTCAATTTTTAACCTACATCAATTTTCATGTGTTAAGTAGACCTTATTGCACAACATGCTTGCAACAGTATTGCCTGTGTGTTCTCTCTTTTTTGATGTACCTTCCATATATTAGAGTAATTATTATGTGGGATCCTTATGAACTTGAAAATTCGTATAAGGATATAAGGCAAGAAGGAAAAAGATTCTGTATGCCTTCTTTTTTAGATTTTCTGAGGTGCCTCTTGTTTTTCAGAGTGCTGATACATCAAGCTGAGAAAGCACAGCTGCAAAAGCTTATTTGAGCTAGTGGAATCTGTATTAGAATGGTCAATCGGGTTTTGGACTCTGTTCAGCTTTCTGGCTACTGCTGGACTCAGTTGTCTTGTATTTCTGGATTTAGCAGGCCTCCAGTATCATGTAAGATGGAGGGCTGTGGTGCCATCTTTCATCCTGGGGCATGTGCTCTTACATGGTTTTCCTTTGACCATGGAGCCACTTCACTGAAAGCCCGTCCTCCTCTTGGGAGGAACCTCCTGCTTCATACTGCTTTCAGCTGTATTAAACTGCTGCTTTTAAGTTCTTTGTGCACCCAGGTTGTGGTGAAAGTTCCTGCCGGCAGGTTTTGCATGTTTGTGGCATTGCCACAAATTGGTGAATAGGAATGCTGGGGCTCAGGGAACTAAATGCTAGAGACTGAAAACTCTGGGCCTGTATTTGGGGAGATTAGAATCTTGGATGCAGATTCCATACCAGAGTAGAGTTTAAAGGCTGTGAGTGTCTTGTGGAGTTGTAGTTTATAGTCTGGCACTTGAAAGAAGAATGTCTAAGCCAGAGATATATGGTTAGGTTGTGGTAGGAGGATGAAGCTCTTGCCATGTAACCATATTTGAATAGCACTTGCACAGTTCGGAAGCCTTTCTGGCTTAGCACCTTGACAGTATTCTACTTAACTCTATTTGCACTTTTAAAAATCTGCAATATACCTACGTTCTCACTTCTCCCTAATAATATATTTTGGGGATGCTGTTATCTTCCCTGTATGTGCACATATCTGTCAAGCTTATTTTAGTCCCAGATCATTTTTTGCAAGCTCAGTGAACACAGAGAAGACAGAACCGTCCTTCTGAAAGGATGCAGGGAGCAGGAATTTTTTTTTTGTGGAGGTGGGAGTTAAGTTAAGGCTATATATGCAACAGATGCTTTGAAAGCTTTTGAGAGAATTTAGGAACCTAAAGCTCACTTTGGTCTTCTAAGACTTGTATTACTTCGCTGCTTGTCTGCTGGAGATAATAGGAAGCTGTATTAAGACCATAAATAATATTTTGTTATTAGAGCATTTATGTGGATGTTTCATGTGTTGTGCAGGGACAAAGATACCTGCCAACTCATTTCACTTTATTTCAGTTTTTTTCTTTTTCTCTTTCCTGAAGTAATACTGGAGTCAAACACAGTCTGCTGTGTTTGTCGTGTTTGATGTGTGTGTGTGTGTGTGTGTGTGTGTGTGTGTGTGAGGAACCATCTTTTAATAATGAATATTAATAATTTTAAAAATAGTATGTTTCTAAGACTTTTTTTCTTAAAGAGCAAGATTAAATTGCAACTCCTGATGGCAAAAATCCTAAATTCTGTGTTTTTTAGGGTTGTTGTTGTTTTTAAACATCTTAGATTTTTAGGGGAGGAAAAGACTTTTGGGCTTCATTTGTTCATTAGCATGAGCTTAGACCTTATCTCTTCTGCTCCTGTTCTGAAGTAGCCCAGCCATAAACTAGCCGTATGCATGTGAGAGGGGGCAGGCTCCTAATTGATGAGAGTCAAAGTCTATTAGTTTGGGCGCAGCATTGAGCACAACTGACTCATTTTAGATAGATGTATTGGCTTGTTACAATTATGCCTTGCCTGTGATTCAGACTAATAGTGTGCAAGGAAGATTTTGAATATTTGAATTGTCCACAGAAGTATGCTATGAGATAGCTGCAGGATTCTGGCAACTTCTGAAACTTTTCTCCGCTCTGTGGATGTGGACATCCACTCTATGATGTGGAGATTTCTTGGCATTACACTGTATTTTGGTGGTCTTGGATCCTCATGAAGAAAGATTCTAAATGCTGCTTTAGCTTGTCTTTGGAGGAATAGTACTTTAGTAGAACTTATATAAACTGACACTTGCGTGACAGATTTATTTTGTTATCAGTGATATTCTTGCTGTTGGCTTATGTGCTATGCTAGAAATATTTATTTTATTTTTATTCCAGAATCTGCACAATGTGGTGTGCTTCTGCATTAAACTTGCAGACTCATTTCCTTGGATTCAAGCACAAGATAGTAAGACCAATTTTTGAACTCATCTTTTGTCAGATTTTATAGATTTATTTAGCAACGGGCTGTGGATGTAGAATCTATTTTTATGTAGCTTTTCAAAATGTGCAATTTCGGATGTTTAGCTAGTTTTGTCACTTTACTATTTTGTTTATTACAGTAAGGTAGAACTTAGTTTTGTACATTAGTACCGTCAGAAAAGGTTGTTACAACCTTGTGTCTTGTATTCTGAATTAGTAAGGACAGTGAATAACTGCTTCAGAATTTATGGCTGTTTAATAAATGCAGAATGAGATTTAAATAATAGGTAATTTTGGGGAAAAGTCTTATATATATATTTTTCTGTTTAATGTAACATACTACACTTCAGGTAGTTTATGGTGTTACTGTTAGTTAATAATTAAACCCTTGCATTGTTACCTTTGAGTATTAAGTGTCTTTCCTCCCTCCTCCCCCCTTTAGGGCGATGATGATTTGTTAAATAAGACTGAAGAAGCTCTGAAAACTCATGGCACTGGTAAGTGCAAAAATTTTTACTTCCTGCTCTATTCATGCACCTTTCTCCCCTGCCTCAATTTAGTTCTTTATGAAACAAAAAAAAAAAAAAGACCTTCTCAAGAATTGTATGTTAAGGCCTGTCCTATGTTCTTTAATGCTGTAACTATATAATCCTACAGAAATCAATCAGTAATGTGTGTAGGGAGTGTGCAAAGTTTTTAAAAATATATTAGCTAGAATACTAGTGATCACCTACATTAGTTTTGAGAGATCTCAAAGAATTCAAGACCTTTGAAGCCTTCAAGTTTTAAAACACGCTAAAAAAAGATGCTTCTGAAAACATCTGTACGTAGTTTTCTGTACATACTTTATATTTAGCTTTAGAAAGAGTTTATTAAAAATTTCTTAATAATTAGCTAATAGGTTTAATAAATCATTAAAACTTCCCAGGTCTGCAAGACCTGGGTTTAGTTACCGTAGGGATGAAGACATGACCATGTTCATCATTGTTCCCCTACTTTTGTTTCATGATGCACCAAACATGTATTTTTCAAAATACATTTTGAAATACAGTTTGAAAGTTGTGGCCCAAGTGTGCATAGGCATTGCACCTGGCAAGTCTGGGGTATTACGTCCACACTGTAAAGTGAAGCATAAGTAGATAAGTTTACTTAGTACATAAGTCTTATCAGCCTGGATACCCTGAATTGTTTACAGGTAAATTGGTAAACACTCATCATGTCCTTTTTTGAGTCATTAGGCCAGAGTTTTAATGACCAGAATATGCTACATGTTATTATAGTCTTTGTATCTTTGTAACACTTGAATTCATTTTCCTTTTACTCTCTTTACTCTTAGTTTTCATTAAGGTCATTTCAGAAGGTTGGTGGTGAAGCAGCAAGTATAACAATCATAGAATTTACAGGAATCAGCTGGGACCTATGTCAGTTGTCAACACAATCTAGTTTGTAACTTAAATAATCAAAAAGAGCTTTCATGAAGATTGTAACCAAAGCTTATGTGACTCTGACTCTTTCTGATGCAGTTGTCTAGCTTGAATCATTCCAACTACCTTCATCTATTTAGGGCTTATTGTGAGCCTTAGGCTCTACTTCTTATCAATATCAGCTGTTTTATTTATTTATTTATTTTTAATTTTTCATGTGGTAGAATGCTGAGATTTTTCCTGTTCTTTTTGTTATCCTATAGTGCATTAACACATTAACACCCTTTCCAAGGAATAGCAGCTTGCTTCCTTTGTGTGTTTGGCATACACTCCAGAACACATCACATCTCTGCATGTCTGTCTCTCTCTCCCAAATTCCTCAATGGCAGAACAGGTCATATGGTCACCTCTGTCCCCTGCCCTTCTTAAGGGTCTGCAGCCCCAGCCCTCTCACATCATGTGCAAAGAGAAAAAATATTTGATTGGAGAGTGGACAGCTGCTGAGCTTCTGAAAAGGACGGAAGGATTATGGGCTGAGTTAAGTGCCCTGACAGACAGCATGTGAGCCAGCAGTTTAAGCACCTCCAGTTTAGTGGGTTTTAACGGAGTTGCTGTGATTTATTGACTTAAAGTTGCTCCAAAATTTATGAAATGAAGCTTTGTTCATTATAGAATAAAAAATATTTGCACTGCAATTAATCAATGAGACTTTTCCCATGTTACGGGTTGTTTTCTATATAAATTAAATAACAGCCAAAATTACTCACAATTTAAGCCACTATTTAATGATTTAGTAATGTGACAATCCTTGTTGTAAGGTAAGCAGTGGCTTGGTTAGTCTTCCTCTCTGACTTCTTCTCTGTATTGCCAAACATTAAATAGCTTTTTTTTTTGTTGGGTGTAAATGTTCTTGGTGCATTTCTTGTCAAAAACATCTCACAGGACATTCAAAAGTAAACATAACTTATTTATGTCAACAGAAGCTCAAGGAGTTTTTAAATAAAAATCTCTTCTCATGCCAAATCAGATTTTGTTCTTAAAATTTTATTTTCATTTTTTTGTTGTTAGTTAAAACTGCAAGTAGCTCAGAGGAGCAAGTGAATGCACCTGTGAAACTTCTTGGTTATGGTAAGAATGTTTAAAGTATTAAAAAAAAGTATTAAACATATGAAAAAAAGGGGGAGGGGGAATAAATCTTTCTAAGTATAATGTTACAAGTGATATCTATAACTAATAGGTCACTGGGAATTAATTTCTTTTTCATTTTATTTTCTATCTGTAGAAATATTCTGTAATAATGCTTGGAACAACACTTGCAAACAAAATGCTATAAAAAGAGTGAAAGTCGGACTTTGGGGACAGTGTTTCACGATAACTGACTTAACTTGTGGTGTGGGACCCTGTATGAGCAGGGATCCAGTTGAATCTGAACTTAGTGTGCCTCGTCTAGGTCAGAGGTTTGATTTCTGTTGTTGCATTTTTTTTTTGTGACCTGACCTGTCTTGAGACTGAGAGGTGGATGATGTGTGATTATAACAAAAAAAAATTACTTTCATCTTATAGTGCAGACTGAGTCAGAGAGGTTTCGGGCAGACCTTGGAAGAACAACTTAATACATAAAAAGATTCAGAACCTGCACTTGGTGAGGGATTTTAATGGTATAATTGCCTGCTTGTGTGATGTATACATTTATAGAGCATTGAGTAACTTTTTAAATGTAAAATTAGATAATGTGTAATAAAATCTTATTATATTTACATTGAATATATATTGATATGGTACAAAAATGACTCATCTTAGTGACAAAATTCTTGGACTTAGCATTGAATATTTTTGAATAGGGAAGATGTCCACATTTTGAGAGCATGGTCTAGAAACAGTCTAAGGTGATAGACTGTGAGAGAGACTTTGACTTTAATGTTTGTTGGTATTCTTTGTAATGCAGTTGCTGACCTTTGAAATTGTCCGTTCTGTTGAGAGAGGAGAGAGGGGTGTGGGCAGGAGAGATGTGAACTACGTGGGTATGTATTAGAATGTATAAAACACATTTTATTCTAAATAGTTATGACAGAACTTTTCAGCATCAAATTTCCTAACTTTTTTTAATTAACACAGGACTTAATTGTATAGCTGAATACCGATCAAAAGCCATTTTCCCTTTTCTATATGAATGTCAGCTGTGCCACTGTAAAACAGGACTGAGTAAAATGTTTATGCATGTTTATGGCTCCAAGCATAGACTGGCATATCTGGTAAGCTTTTAGAATAAAGGTGGTGTTCTGATGTAATGGTTTAAGTAGAGAATTTGCTAGCCATTCTTTGATTTAAAACTTTTTTTAAAGCTGTTATATAAGCTTTTGTAAAAATGACTGTGTTCGTGTTACAGCCATGCAACTTGGTTTATACTCTAATAAATGGATTTAAAATTCATCACATCAATAATGTGTATGCCTGTCTGTTGCTGACACTGAGCTGTCAGCTTCTTTTGTTTTCATTGACCAGAAATGCCAGTAATAAAATCGACAGCTGTAATTGGCTAGAAGTAGGTTTTCCAAAAACAAATTTTATATTATTTTAACAAATTGGATCAATGAAAAAATTGCTTTGTGTTTCAACTGCTTTATAGCTATGCTCCTTTTAGTCTGAAGGACTGTGATACATATTGGATAGAGTCTGTAACCAGGAAAAAAACGATATTGTATTCCCAGTTTTGTGACTGGGCAAGCTATATAACTTCTGTGCCTGTTTTCCACTCTAAATGTGTGTAAAACTTTTAATGTTTCTTTCTGTCCATGAATATTTAAGTACATTTTGCTTTGAACTGTTTATTTTTTCAGTATATTTAGCAAAATGACACTGTCCAGTGTTTGAATGTTTACCTGAATGTATTTGCTTAGAATAGGCTTTAACAAAGTGGAGAAAGCAATAGAAGACTCTTCCTTGGTCGAGGAGGATCAGGTTAGAGATCATTTGTCTAAACTTGACATCCACAAATCCAGGAGCCCTGATGGGATGCATCCACGAGTGCTGAGGAAGCTGGTGGATGTTATCGCTAGGCCACTCTCCATCAGCCTGGAAAGGTCCTGGAGGTCAGGAGAGGTGCCTGAGGACTGCAAGAAAGCCAATGTCACCCCAGTCTTCAAAAAGGGCAAGGAGGAGCCAGGAAGCTACAGGCCTGTCAGCCTCCCCTCCAGCCCTGCAAAGGTGATGCAACAGCTCCTCCTGGAGGTCCTCACTAAGCATCTGGAGGACAAGCAGGTGATCAGGAGGAGTCAGCATGGATTCCCCAAAGGGAAATCATGCTTGACCAATCTGATCGCCTTCTGTGATGGGATGACTGGGCTGGTAGATGAGGGCAGAGCAGTG